GCCAGATTTAAACTTAGGTCCTCCTGACTTCAGGATCAGTGCTCTATCCACTGTGCCACCTAGCTGCCCCCTCATTGTTATTTCAATATAATTGACTTCCTTTGTAACCCAAAAATTACATCTTTATTTCAATATAATTGGATTCCTTTGTAATCCTGTTTTTTTTTAAATTTACTTTATTCATTTAAAAATATTATTCCGAGAAGGGGTCCACAGACTTCACCAGACTACTAAAAGCATCCATTGTATAAAAACGGTTAAGACCTCCCATCTAACCCTCTCATTTTTATAAATGAGAAAGCTGAAACTCAGAGAAGGTGAATGATCTGTCTGAGATCACACAGCTGATTAGAAACAGGGGCAGGTCTAGAACCAGGTCCTTTAACTTTCCAGTTCACTAGGCTTTCCACTAGAAGAAACTACTTTCTGGTGGCTAGCTACTGTATTTTCAACTCCTAGACTGCTTCTGAGTGTAAGTAATCTATAAAACTTTAAGGATAATCAAAATGTTTCAATCACCAGTTGGCCTGGGGATAAATAATGTATTTAATGGAACTATAAATAAGCTTGTGGTTAGCTTTCTCTATGCACTTAGCTTCTGGCCTTGCCATACCTGAAATTCCTGAGCCGAGAGCCCTAGGGAAGGCAAAGATCTCACTTCTGTAAAGATATGGGTTCCTCAGTAAGCATTCTTTTAATGAAATTCCTCTGAAGTTACAATTGTGCACTATTTTGGTAATAACTAATATCTTGCCTGGTGATTTATTAACATTATTTATTACTATTCTAAAAAAAAATTATTCCTATTTGTGACTAACCACTCCTAGAGGATTGTTGAAGTACAACTTCTATCTTTTCCTTTCTGATGGAAGACATTTCAAAGTAAGTAATATTTTGAAGGGAGAGAAAAGTAAAAATTACTATTTCTAATGAACTGGGTAAGTATGTGTGCTAGCTGTAGCATAGAACAAAAGGATAAACAAGGCCCAATTCAGCCAAGTGACAATCTGAAATAGTCATGAATAAAATGCAGAGAGTGCATTGTGCAAGCTGTACCATGCAATGGGGCTTGCAAGACGATTTGTATAGGGGGGTGATATAAATGGTAACACAGAACAATGCCTTTTCATTGTCTGCAGAACAGAACTCCTAAGCTTTTTTTCCCCCTTTTTTCTGTAGATAGGCTGTGTTGGTTAGAAATCCTGTGGTCTTTTATTCAGGGAGTGTAGGAAAGTGTATACATTATGTCATGGTAATTTATTACTTTTTTTTTCCCTTTTAGTCCTGTTCTGTGATTTCATCTCTATGGGGAATTTTCCATCTAGTTGAAGTGCCCGTGAACTAAAGCAGATTGGCAACTCATCTGTAATTTAGAGTGCTAATGGAGTTTGAGAAGCTACTGGTAAACACACTGGTTTTAGGGTCAGAGAACCTGGGTTTAGTTAGATACTTTCTTTGTCACTTAACTCAGTAGGGATGACTATGGTGAGTCACTTAGCTCATCTGGGGCTCAGTTTTCTTATTTGTAAAATGAGGAAGCTGAAATTCAGAGAAGTTGAATGATCTCCCTGAGATCACACAGCTGATTAGAAACAGGGGTAGGTCTAGAACCAGGTCTTTTTACTTTCCAGCTCAGTAGCCTCTCCACTAGAAGAAACTACTTCTGGCTGCTAGCTAGCTCACTGGATTTTCAACTACTAGACTCTCAAATGACTAGATAATCTCTGGAGTCTTCCAGCTCCAAATCTATGATTCTATAAATCAGAATGGGCAGCTAGGTGTTGAAGTGTATGAAGTGCTGGGCCTGGAGTCAGGAAGACTCATCTTGTGAGTTTAAATCTGGTCTCAGACACGCAATTGCTGTGTGACCCTGGACAAGTCACTTAACCCAGTTTGCCTCAGTTCCTCATCTGTAAAACGAGCTGGAGAAGGAAATGGCAAACCACTCCAGTATCTTGGTCAAGAAAACCACAAATGGGGTGACAAGAGTTGGTCATGACTGAACAACAACAAATGAATTAAAAGTTGTCTGAGTTACTTAGAGGTTAAAAAAATAAACAAAACTTTTCCATGGTGACACTTGAGAAAAGCAAGACACAAACCTAGGTCTTTCTAACTTCTGGGTAGGCCCTTTATCTACTTTACCACCCTGCGCTTCCTCTATTTATTATGTAATCAGTTTTGTTTTAATGCTGAATTCAAAGACTATTGTTTCTTAGGCTTTCCCATTTGTTTATCCATAACCACCTGCTCTCCTAATGCCCAGACTGAGCACAGTGTTTGACAAATCTGTCTTAGCATATCTGTATTCATTAAAGATTGCCCCTTTTTTTTGGAGTGGTGGAGGTGGTTGGTGGTGGTGGTGGTGTGTATTTATATCTTCTCAAAAGTTTGTGAATGATCATTAACAGTAATCTAGGCCACTCCATCAGTTGTTATTTCTGGTGCTGTGATTACTTTCCAAGCCTGTGGCAAGATGGCAAGTTCTTAGCTCCACCCATACTCAGCCTGGACTTAAGCATTCTATAAGTTAACTAATACCCAGCTATTTGGGAAGTTCTAGCCTAAGGAATCATAGGATCATAAATTTACAGCTGGAAGGAAATTTAGAACCCATCCTTTCCAAAACTCTTTATTTTACAGATTAGGAAACTGAGACTCAGAGAGATTAATTGATTTGTCCAAGGTCACATAGGTAATAAATGACAGGTCTGTGCTTGACACTAACCATATCATGGCAAATAATAAGGAAAATCCAGCTTTTACTACTGAAAAGTATATTTACTTTACGTACAAAGCAGACTGGCTTACAGCTTCCTGAAGTCACCTCTATATTTTGTACCTTTATTTCCTGCCATAACCCAACACTTCTCTGGCCTTCCTTGAGACACTTGGCCTCAGGCAAGGAAAGCAAAGTTGGCAGGTGGAAAGAGCCAGGACCCAGAGCTGAGAGAGATTCAGCCTCTGACCATTAAGGCAGCCCTCAAATTCTTCTGTCCAGTTTCTTCATTTGTAAAAATAGAGATAATACCAGAGAGGGTTGTTGTGAGGATCAAATGACGTAATGTAAATGTATTATTTAAGGTACAACATAAACAAATGTCAGCTATCATTATCCTTCAGGGTCACAGATGCTGTTCAGTCCAATTCTGTCAATTTTAAACTTATGTCCTTAAAGGGAATTTGACAGAGCCACAGTGCAACCTTGTAGCTTCAACACCATAGGAGAAAAAATAAGATACAATTTAAATAAGAACGGTATGATCTGGGAGGTTGCAACATCTGTTTAAAATGGTAGAATATTTCCAGAGTAATAACATTGTTGCCATTCATATTTAATATCTACTTCACACCATGAGCTCCACAAACTTCAGACTAAAATATCTCTTCTTTCCAACTGGGCATATGGCATAGCTGCCACTACATTTTAAAGGACTATTAAACTGCTCTAAGTAGAAGATGTTAACCAGCTCAGTCCCCGGCTAGAAGAACTTATATTTAGGTAAAATAGATCTGGAAGGGATTTCATTTGTGTTGATAGAGGAAATGCCCACTTTGATGAAGTCAGTCTACTTAAGTGTTAATAATAATGTGAATTTCTTAGGAAGGTAATGGCATAGTTCATTCACATGCTGGCTCATCCACTAACTACCTGTAGTATGTCACTTAACCTCTCTAGGGCTCAGTTTCTTCACATGAAAAAAGAGGAGATTGGACTGGATGATTTCTAAAGGGCCTTTCCAGCTCTGATTGATAATCTTATTGATTAGCTACCAGAGTTAAAATCAAAGTAATGCTGCATTTATATCTGAAAGGAGATGTCTTAGAGTGCCCTGAGACTCTGTGGGAAGCAGCCCCAGTCGTTAAGTAAGAGCAAAGCAGGTATACAGTGGCAGCAGCTGCTGTCCAGAAGACTGGAGAGTATTTGCCATATAAGGGGGTCAGAGACTGACAGCCCCCTTTACCAAGATGGCCTCGGCAGCTGGAAAACAGCGTGAGCGGCCATTGTGGTAAAGGTCCAGATATGCGGACACTAAGGTCACAATCGGCAGGGGTGAATAAGAAGCAAGGAGCAATCAGGGTCGCGGTGAAGTGCAGCCACGGCTGCTATGCTATGGTGAGGCTCCGGGCGCTGGGCAGCTGCCTGGGCTTGCTGGCTCTCTGGGCCACCAGCCGGTCCGACGCGAGAGGAGCCTGGGTGAAGAGGTGTCAGGTCTTTAGGGGGTGCGACTACGGGGAGCCGGCGGGCGGAGCCGTGTGCAAGGCGCTGGAGCCCCAAGGCAAGATGGAACCTAGGCGGGAGGAGGAGCGCGAGCCCGAGCCGGAGCGCGAGCCCGAGCCGGAGCGCGAGCCCGAGCCGGAGCGCGAGCCCGAGCCGGAGCGCGAGC